TACGATCTAAAAAAAAAATTCACCCACCTCACAGTTGTCAGGCACTCGGAACCTGTCCAAAAATACAATAAAAGTCCATGGGACCAACCTGTAATTTATACTGTGAAAACGGACATTTTAACATGGGGTCTATGGACATTTGCTCCCGTTTGGGTCCTCCCTCTAGTGGATTTTAGATGTATTGCAGTTTTTCTCACTTCCGGGTATGCTTCATTTTTCAGATTAGAATGTTGCCGTTTATAATATTAATAATAATAATAATAATAATAATAATAATAATAATAAACACCAGATAAGCCCAACTTACATGGAAAAAACTAAACAAAACAAACAAACAAACAAACAAAAAATGTTAACTTTCTGGCTTCTTCTACGAGCTGAGCTGACTAGAAATATCTCTGGTTGCTAAATAAACCGTCAGGCGTAACCAGGGAAACCAATTTATTGTTTGTAAAAACTTTAGATTTCGATTGTAAAACTAATTCAAATATAAACGAATGTTTTAAAAATGTGTTATTTGGAAAGTATGGGGGGTAAGGGGGTTAATGCCCTTCGAGGTTGTCTATATAAATGGCCTCTGCTGCATGTCCGACGGTTCACGCCTCGCCGTCTTCATTACAATGGATACCTCGTCGGGCATTAACACTTAGGCCTACTTATTTCACAAAAGAAGGAGAACATATACATATTCAGTCACTGTTTCTGTTTATTTGTAGTCACAGGACTGTATCTTTACATTACATTCAGAATCAGAAAGAATGATCATTTCTACAAAATTTCCACCAAAAAAAACGACCTGGGGAGCTTTGCACTCGGTCAAAGTCCCAGTTATATTTTCAGTCAGAGAAACAGATGAAGCTCCCGAAAAACTGGAGTTGCTTTATTATTATTATTATTTTTTTTAACATACTCTGAGCTAAATATGAGCTGATTTCTTCAAGCGGTCGTGCTATGTTTATTAATGATTCGTGTCTTTTGCATTGCATATAATATATAGGCCTATATATATTTTGCCTTGCGATGATCTGAATTGACATCGGATCACGAACAGAAGTTATTTTAAGCACTCGATGCTGTCTGAAAGTGAGTTGAGCTAAAATGATTTAAAAGTCTTTAATGCTGATGATAACTGCATATGAAATGATGTATTTATTTATTATATTACATAGGCTGATCTTATGAAGAAATGTATGCGGTGTGTGTGTGTGAATGGAATATGTAGGCTATATATGGACATTTGGTGATTATCTTTGTGAGAATCACTGTAATATTAAAGCATTTAAGGTTTCAATGCAAGAGCCAATTTCATGACCTCAGTGACTATCATCTAAACTTGACAGAGATCATTTATCTATTATGGATCAAAATGAGAAAGTTCTACTCCCTGAAACTCAGAATACATATTTGAAACCTCTCGATTAAATTATCGCTATGCTTTTCTTTTTATAAACGGTAGATATCAAACCTCTAATGAATCATTTAATGTGCATTAATTGATTTTAAGAGATTTTGCTTGGGTCTTTATTTTGCTCAACCTTGAAGTGTCTACAGCACATGAAGGATGAAATGTACTCATATATAATTGACCGGTTCGTAGGTTTCGGTCCTGCTTAGTAACTGCTGTTGAGTTGAGAAGAATCTCCAGAGCAAATGAATCCCTGAATGACAAAAGCCCTGTCTAACCATGTCTCCGTGAGCACTTAAATGGACAGACATGTTATAATTATCTCTTGAGTGGGTAAGATAACAGTGATATCTCTGGATTTGTCTGTAGAAAAGTGGATGAAAGGGTTTTTTTCCTTTCATCAAAGCACATACTTTAATTTTTTCATTCTAAAAACACATTTAATACTCGTCTGTACTTGTATTTTATGTATGTTTTAACCTAAAACATTGAGATTTAGAAGAAAAAAAAAAAAAATCAAGATCATTATTTACTCATTCCAAACACAAATGTTCCAAGCCATGTGATAACTTTGATGTCATTGTTTTTTGCATGTCCCATTACTGACAGAACGTTTGAATTGATGAGACTCCTGCATAGGGCAAGATTTTCAGTAAATAACAGTGATTTTAAAGCTTTCAAGTCTCTGAATATAATGCATGAGTCATATGAACTACAATTATGGAGCATTTTTGGAGTTCAACTGCCCAGTCCAAAATATTTTCATATGTTCTCCAAAAATAAAACATTGCAATTTGTTGATTGCTCATGCTGCAGTCTATTACTCACAGTAGTTAAACAGCATGATGAACAACTGCCCTCACAAGCCAAGAAATGCATTAGCACTCAAGGACTATCGATTTTAACTTAGCTAAACTTTTCACTTGCGAAACACCTGTGGATCCAGATTACTCCCCAACAGCGAGCTGATGAAATATTTACTGAAAGACCTGCAGGAGGCAATATTTTATATATTTCAGACTTTTTCTCAGGACATTTAGATATTTTACAATACATTTATTTAGTTTGGAAGATTATGCAGTGTTAAAGAATTTCAAATAGCTTTATAAGGGGATTCTGGGGTTGTAAAAGGCTCAAACCTGTTTCCTAGAAGATTGAAAAAGAAAACAAACTTTAACCTACAACCTCTTCTAGTCCAGGTGAGCACGGGCACAGGAACAGACGTGTGACAGCATGAGTGTGCGCGGCTCACAATAGAGGTCCTTGTTTCATTACGGAGGCCATCATGGCTCAGCAGGAGTACAAAGGTGTAATTAAAGGTTTGATCCCATTCGGACAAAACGCATGACTTTCAATAAACTCATTCAGGACACTTCAGCTCTTCTAAAGCCTTTATATTCAACAAAAGTACCATTTCTACTAATCTGTATTTCTCAGGCCTGCACACTGTCTTCTCTCGCAGCCTGAGGTTTGATCACCTGTCACAAGCTATTGTCACAACCAATTATTTAGTCAAAACCCTTTATGCTGACTTTAAAGTTTTGCAGGTTTTATCTTCATCATAAAGGTTCGGATCTGGCGGACTAGCAGCATAAATATCTCTATATAAACATAGATGTCAGAAATGCCAACTGAATTGAGATATTTAAGACCTTAAAGACGTAAGGGCATTTTTACAATTAATTTTCCGTCTGGTTTTATTTACTAAAAGCTCGTAAAACATCAACCCTGTTGTGCACAGACAAATGACACACCTCTTTTTTTTTCAGTATATTTGTGTTGCATTGATGTCACCTGAATGTACAATAAGTTATGGGACCATAAAGCGGAACGGAAATTGAATCGCGCAAATATTTATTGAAATCGCACACAAATAAATAAAAGCGAATCAAATTTCCTCTGGAAAACAGTTTATTCATGTCTTTGGAGTCCTGGAGCACAGGAATAAACATAATAACTTGTACAAAACCAAATCTATTTACATTTTTCCCAAAAAAAAGTCCAGGCGTTTTTGGCCTCATGATATTCACTGGCATAGATATCCACAATAAAGGCGGGGGAGTTTCTACCGTCATCACCGGCGGCCATCTTGTCACAGGCAAGCTGATGTAAGATGAGTGATCAGCACAAACACAAATACTCTTACAAACGGTTTGGTTTCTTACAAACGTTATTAATGTGGCTATAATTCTGGATGATTATTTATTTATACACTTATTATTCATAAATATGCAGTGTCATAACTACATCTCTGGTGTTTATAACAAAACAAAACCGTTTGAAAATTGGGTATTTAAGTTATGGTTATTTAAATAGTACATGCACCATTAAAACACAATCGCTGCGTCCCAATTCGCATACTATCCGTCCTAAATAGTATTCGAAAATAGAATTAGTACGTCCCAAATCGTAGTATGTTGAAATGAGTGTTTCAAAGATACCCGGATGGTCTACTTTTTCCGGTCAGAATCCGAAGTGTAGATCGATGCACACTCTAACGGCTGATATTGCCCACAAACCATTGCGCGTTGGACGGGGATTCGGTTAGAACTACAAACACGAGTAAAAAGTGTTAAAAAAAACTACAGACACGTAGTCGATACGGAGGACGCGCGAGTCCCCGCGGATTTTACATAAAGAGCTTTGAGTGATTAATTATCAATATCTAACCTGACGAAAATGAATTTATTCAATGTTGTTCACATTATATTGCATTTGCAGCAGCATTGTGAACTTTTGTAAAGACACGTTTAGCTATTACGTTTTAAATGCATCATTATATTCAAATTGCAAACACGAGGCTAGCATGAAAGACCCACAACTGGCAGATTAACGTGCTCTCCGAAACGGTAGGAAATAAAATTAGATAGAATGGAGGATTTTAACTGTGACAAGATGATTGATAGGGTTGGGTATCGAGAATCGAGTATCGATTGGAACCGGTACTAACTTTTAGTTTTTCCCGGAATCGTTCAAAAGTTAAAATTTCGATTCCTAGTTTCGATATTCACAGTCCGCCGAGCGGAAGAAGAAACCGCTGAACAACACTAACGAAGAAACGTCTACCGGAAGTGTTGGCATAACCACACGAGTCGAACATGAGTACCTTACGTCGGCGGTCCAAAGTGTGGCTTCACTTTTCTTAAAATAACGAAATCTCGGCAAAATGCAAAATTTGTGACAAAAGGAGTATTTTTACAGAAGGAGTATTTCCTTCAGAAAGGATTATTTCCTTCAGAAAGGCCGTTGGTTAGCAAGGTTAGCTAAACTTTTTTGACCCTGCCTCTTAAAAGAATCGGAATCGAGAATCGTTAGGAACCGGAATCGAAACAAGGAATCGGAATCGGAATCAGAATCGTTCAAATTCAAACGATACCCAACCCTAATGATTGACAGGGCAGTTTACGGTGACAGGATGCACGCGACAGAGCTGTCCGTTAAAGATGACGTGATAGTACGTCCCAAAGCTTGCCTACTCTTTTGCTACACACTCAAAAGTATGTACTTTTTCCTCACAAAAAGAGTACATACTTTTAGAGCGTAGTATAAGTAAGCGAATTGGGACGCAGAAAATGTTAAGAGCGAGCTGCCTGTGACAAGATGGCCGCCAGTTGCAGACGTCGACCTCCATTGGCCAGCAGCGCGGACGAGACATCTAGCCTTTATTATGGAGATCTATGTTCACTGGTGCCATGCCTCAAAACAGTTCCTATCAGGAATCACACAGAGGGCCACGTCACAGGCTTTGCATTTCCAAGGGGTGGCCTGTTTGGCCTGCCTTTTCTGCTTGCAGTTCACACACTGCCTTCTACCATAGGAGGCCTTCTTGCTGGTTTCAGTTTGGTCTGATATTGGCACAGGTACATGGTTACTTTGTTGCTGGGTGGGGGCAACAGCAACTGTAACACTGCAGAGTTGGGCTGTCAGCTCCTCAAGAAAAGCCCTGTGGGTCATGGGCTGTTGCTGCTTCTCTGCACAAACCTCCTTGTGAAGCAAGTAACTGTTGGTCGCGGCAATGTCCAAAAAATGGAAAAACAACGTCCTGTACCATCTCATAGTTTTATGGTGAACGGAGTAGTATTGGATGAGTTGATCAGAGAGATCAACACCTCCCATATTCTTGTTGTATTCAGTGATTGGGGTTGGGCATGGAATGGATTTGGCCTTCCAGCTTCCATCAGTTCTTCTAACCCTTCTCTCAACCGTGTTGCCAGAGAAGGCCGGGTGAATCGTGGAGCAGATTGAGACTTCCCGAGCGTCCATCCACTTTACAAAAACCAAAGGGCCATCACGGATCCACCTGATGGTGCCCCTGGGATCCTTTTTTGTCATGGCGTTTTTAGTTGCGCGGGGGGATCCCAGCATGTTGTCCCTGTAGGTGCCACATGCTCCGAAGTTCATGTTGTGGAGATCCATGAATAGCTTTGGACTTGTGTAGAAGTTGTCTACATACAAATGGTAGCCACTCCCTAGGGATGATTTGTTCAAGAGGGACATGACCGAGTCGTATGCCAGTCCTAAACCAGAAGCAAACGCAGACTTCCCAGTGTACACAGCAAAGTCTAAAGTGTACCCAGTGCTGCTGTCTGCCAGCACAAAAAGTTTGAAGCCCCACTTAGTTGGTTTCGCCTTTATGTATTGGGTCATGCCAGTGTGAGCCTTTGTTGCCACCATCCTCTCGTCCACGGAAAGGTTCTGCCGTGGGTGATAAAATGCTCTGCATGCCTGTTGGACGTCATTTAAAAGGGGCTTCAGACGAAACAGCCGGTCATAAGCTGGCGTCCCTTTTTTTTGGTCGTTCTGGACATCTTCATCGGGGTCGCTCATGTGGATGTTCCAGGAAATGACCTGATACCTGTCACGTGTCATCACCGAGGGGGGGAACGGATGGCTGAAAATGGTGTTTGTCCTCCAGTAGTTTCGGATATTTGAGAGTCTCAACAGTGCAAAATAGAAAGTCAGTCCTACATATTTGAAAAATTCTTCGACGGTGAGGTTTTTCCAGAGATATTTTTTGCCATTTGCGATGTTTTTTGCAGCGTTTTTGTTTGTGTTATTACACATAATGATTGCTGCACTCTCACTGACAAAAAGTTTGAAAAGGTTCAATGCTGTGTATGTGGATGTGGAGTTGAGCTGATGCCCTGGCTTTCTTGTTGGGACGAACCTTTTGGGATCTGGAGGGATGTCTGGCTGAAGCTCACTCTTCCATGAAGGAGTTGGGGCTGCTGGCTGTGGTGATCTAGATCTCGAACTAGTGGATTCAGGACTGCCGGATCTGGATCTTGACCTTAATCGGGCTCTCTTTCGTGACCGTGACTGCATCCGTCCGTGATCTATTCCTGGCGGCTCCTGGGATTCTGCAGCAGGAGTGGAAGGGTCCTCCTCAGCGGACGAATGGGAGCTTTCCTTGCTGGTTTGGGTGGGTGGGCTGGTGTCTTCTTCATTATCACCACTGTAAAACAAATAAATAAAGCAAAATATTAGATCATACCAAATGCAATCAATGAGCGTTTTTTTTTTTTTTCTCACATAAGACAATGACAATGGCTGAGATTGCTACTGTACTATGGGATCAAAATCCCCCCAAATGTATTGCGGCCATGGATTAAAAAAATAATAAGCGCGATTCAAAAATATAAAGACACATAAAAATGTAAACGCATATTTCACAAACTGAAAAAAAGTCAGTTTTAACGTTAACGTTAAAGTGCGAGAGTTCAGTCACGCTTGATGTTTCAAGGCCTATAAATCATACGTGTATTTGCATCTGCCATGCAACATTAAGCGGACATATCGGACATTCCCGTCAATGCGAGTCGTACGTCGTTAAAAAGTTACATCGTCTTTTTAAAACATTTCTCGGTACAGATATAACTATAAAGGCCAATTTATACTTCTGCGTAGGGTGCGCGCAGTAGGTACGGCGTAGCATACGCACAGACGTGTCCCATTGCGCGTACCCTTCGCCTGACGCGCACCTCCTCAAAAATGTAACTACACGTCGCGACGACGCGGACCGCAAGATCGGTGATTGGTCGGCTTGGTAGCATCGCATTTCCTCACGTACCTTCTCACGCATTTCCATCACTGTCTATGATTTCCACACGTACCATCTCCTCCGACGTCTTCTCTCATTTCTGCCTTTCAGTTTTAGTAATTTCACTAAAGTGAACTGTTTTTCCACCTCAATAAGCTCCAACTCCAACATGATCCACTCTCTTTCAATCGCTATTGCTTGTAGTACCCTAGCCGCGAGGAATCTAAACACAGTGGAACATTAAAACTCTCCGCCGCCAACTAGCGTTTCGGAGCAGTACTGCAGAGCAACAAGACCTGAACGCAGAAGTATAAATGCTCATAACACATTACGCACATTACGGCGTACCCTCGACGCAGAAGTATAAATTGGCCTTAATAAATTACACAACTCTAGTTGAATAACAGAGTATTAATTTCGTTCATTTGTGTTAAATAAAAGGCGAACTGTGCTGAAATGTGTTCCTTTTGAAATCATTCTTTGCTCGCGGTTGCTGCTGTCAGTTTATTGACAAGCAGTTTCTCTAAATAAAGCTGGCTCGCATTGGTATTTAGTTTCTCCCGATAGAAACCCTTTAATTTATCTTTCTTCTCCATATCTTCCAAAGAAACTACAGCGTCTCGCTAAAATGTAAACAAATACTGCGCTGCTGCTTTCTTGTTGGGACGAACCTTTTGGGATCTGGAGGGATGTCTGGCTGAGGCTCACTCTTCCATGAAGGAGTTGGGGCTGCTGGCTGTGGTGATCTAGATCTCGACCTAGTGGATTCAGGACTCTGTCGACCCCTCGAGCTGCCGGATCTGGATCTTGACCTTGATCGCGCTCTCTTTCGTGACTGCATCCGTCCGTGATCTATTCCTGGCGGCTCCTGGGATTCTGCAGCAGGAGTGGAAGGGTCCTCCTCAGCGAATGAATGGGAGCTTTCCTGGCTGGTTTGGGTGGGTGGGCTGGTGTCTTCTTCATTATCACCACTGCAAAACAAATAAATAAAGCAAAATATTAGAGTGTTTTTGTATTTTATTTCTCACATAAGATAACAGTGGCTGAGATTGCTACAGTACTATGGGATCAAAATCCCGCCAAATGTATTGTGGCCACGGATTCAAAAATAATAAGCGTGATTCAAAAATGTAAAAAAAATATTGCACAAACTGAACAAAAAAAAAAATGCGGTTAGAGGAGGAGCTGTCAATCTAGAACTATGGACTAATGGTGACGCTTAAGCCCGCCCTAATTTACACGAAACTCGAACTGCAACATTTGGAAGAGCAAGCGCAGAACACGGAAAACATAAATTTAAGTTACGTGCAAAATACTTTTTAATGTGTTTAAAGTTATGCATGTTTATAACATTTTGATCCGTGATAATTTTTTTGCATTATTTTTTTTTCAGTTTGTGCAACATATTTTTACATTTCTTAATCGCGCTTATTATTTTTTTTGATCCGTGCCCGCAATTGAGAACGAGAATGTGACATCACGCGCGTTGCATAACTAAAATGTAAACAAATACTGCGAAGTTCTGAAGGCGTTGCCCCTGGCAACCGATAGCGTCATGGCCGAACAGTTGCTGCACACTCACTGACAAAAAGTTTGAAAAGGTCCAATGTAGTTTTGTCACGATACCAAACTTATTGTTTCGATACCGATACCAAGTCAAGAATCGCGATTTCGATACTTTTTCGATACTTTTCCTGAAAAGGAAAATATTTCTTACAGGGAAAGTATTTCTTCACATGCACCTCCTTTCCGTAGGTATGTGCTCTTTAAATGCTGTAATAACCTAATAAATCACTGACAAACATGCGCATGCTCTGATTATAATCATATAGTGGGGCGGCAGTGGCTCAGTGGTATCGATACTAATACATTTAGGTATCGTGAGGTTTTTAATTTCCGAGTATCGCGATACTTTTGAAGTATCGGTGCATCGTGCAACACTAGTCCAATGGTGTGTATGTGGATGTGGGGTTGAGCTGATGTCCTGGCTTTCTTTTTTGGACGAACCTTTTGGGATCTGGAGGGATGTCTGGCTGATGCTCACTCTTCCATGAAGGAGTTGTGGCTGCTGGCTGTGGTGATCTAGATCTCGACCTAGTGGATTCAGGACTGCCGGATCTGGATCTTGACCTCGACCGTGACTGCATCCGTCCGTCATCTATTCCTGGCGGTTCCTGGGATTCTGCAGCAGGAGTGGAAGGGTCCTCCTCAGCGGACGAATGGGAGCTTTCCTGGCTGGTTTGGGTGGGTGGGCTGGTGTCTTCTTCATTATCACCACTGTAAAACAAATAAATAAAGCTAAATATTGTGTTGAATTTTTACTTCCGGCAGCGGCTGTGGGCGGGACTTTGATGCTCTTTTGTCTCCACAGCTAAAAGGTGTGACCAACCCCCCACTACAACATCCATTGTGTGTATTTCTAGGTAAACCCAATAAACCTAAGACAAAATCCTACTTTTACAGAACTTATTTTACATATTTAGACGCATTTCTATTATATCATATTACTTTTTTATTTTTTATACTTTTACAGGCAATAAATAAATGGCACTTACTCTTCAGCGGGGTCTAGACCATCCTGGTAATCTAGTTCCTCATCGGTCAAAAAGCTCTCTTCTCCTGAAAATCCATCATCCTGCACGTCATTAAAAAAGTCCAGCGATTCATTTAAGTCCATGCTTGCCTGACAATCCATTTTTCTCCGTGTTTCTCTGTGTATCCTTCAAAACAACAACATTGCCATGCGTCTCTCTCTCCCTCCTCAAAATATATTTGCCGTGCGTCTCTCTCTCCACAACATCAGAGCTTGGTTCATGCGTAATGACGCACACCAACGTGGACGACGGATCTTCTTCTTTAGGAGCAAACCAGCTAAAAGGTGCATTTACCAATAATATCTGTCTGTCTGCAGAGCCACACTGTTTTACACCAGCAGTTTCACCCCGCGCATGCGCAGTTTCGCCACAACTGCTTTATTCGCGCATGCGCAGTTTCAATATAATAGTTTTACCTGCGCATATTGTTCAGTATTAAAACGATCTAATCATGGTTATTATTACCAATTATTTTTGATTATTAGTCTGCAGAGCCGCAGAGCAACAGTTTCACCACGAGCATGCGCAGTTTCACAACAACAGTTTTACCCGCGCATGCGCTGTTTCAATATAGCAGTTTTACCCGCGCATATTGTTCAGTATTAAAACGATCTAATCATGATTATTGTTACCAATTATTTTTGCTTATTAGTCTACACCAGCAGTTTCAATGTATGGTTATTTACCAATTATTTTTGCTTTAGTTATTTTTTGCTCCTACTGTTGCTTGCAGGCCTTCGGGACCTTTACTGAAATAAAACAATGCTTGGAACACTTTAATCTTTTACGTTTTTTCCTCCAAAAAACGAACAGCCTGACCTATTTGTACACTTACCTATTTGCTAATTGCTCAATCTGACGGTATAACGCATTTAAACTTCTGATTTGACAGAATTTGTCTCCTTTCCATTTCTTTTGCCACATCTCGTTTAGTGCAGATTTTATTATTGCTTTGACTTTAGATTTACTCAGTGATGCATTAATGTCTATTACATTGTGTTTTAAAGATCTCTTTGCCAGCTACCCCACATGTGCTGAAACCAATAAAAATTAAATTCTTACCCCTATTCTGTATATTCTGTACAGGTTTTGTAGCACTTCATATTAGGTATCATGCCTAGATGTTGACTTTCCACTATTTATACTCATTAAAGCTGAATAAGAGTCAGAAGAACAAATTACTACATCCATTGGATGAATGTCTTCCGTTTCCCGAAAGCATCGTTACTATGGTCGCAAATTCCGTCGTTATCAGCATAGTGCAACAGTATAATGATATCACAGTTGTTTACCATATATAGTACGGAAACTTGCTGTTAACCAATTAACAGTTTTGCAGTTTTGTCTTTTACAGTTAAAATTATGATTATTTTTTACAGTGTACAATTCAATTTATAAAATGCAAAAATGTTATATACACACAAAATCAATGTTATATTAGTCATTTACCCATTTCACCAGTGGTTCAGCTCTCACGGAGCCACTGGCTAATGCCACACCTCGTGCCCTGGCATAAATCAATCAAACTCCTTTCATGGATCACATGTTTCCATTGATTGGAACAGGAATGGCAGAGGCTTAATTTCTTGTTAATGTAGTGCTGAAGGCTGTTGTCCTGAGAGAGAGAGAGAGAGAGAGAGAGAGAGAGAGAGAGAGAGAGAGAGAGAGAGAGAATGATATCCTTGGGGAAGTGTTCAGATGTTAATCAGTAGAAGAGGATTCAGATCAGGTCATGTTGTTACTCTGTCAGGTGTGTCATGTAAATGTGCCAGTCTGTTAGTGGTCGAATATCAGCTCATATTCACACCTGCTATGCGACAACAGCTCCAAGGTCACACAGAGACTGCGACAGTATTAGCAAGTCTTGCTCTGTTTCAAAAGCCAGCTACTGTCTGCTGCTTTTTACTTTGTGATGGGTTTGTTCATGGTTTTTCAGGATGTCAAGAGTTCATGCTGGCTTCTTCCAGCTGGTTGGTTTAGAGTGGTGATTCCCAAAGAGGGTTATACTTCCAACCCGATCTCACGGCAATTCGTCCGAGTTTTACGAGATGGCTAATTCGTACGAATTCATACGACCCCAATTGTACAAATTTGTAAGATTTTTGCTTATCTGTACATATTTTAAGAGTTACCAAATTCGTATGAGTTCGTTCCCCTGACCCCGCCCCTAAACTTCCCCATCACGTGGGTTTAGACAAATCGCATGAATTCGAACGAATTACGTTTTAATCACTCGTACGAATTCGTACGAATTGGTCATGAGATAACGTTGATACTTCGGCATCTTGAAGAGATTTGATTTGAATTGTTTAATATACAAACATAGTACAGTTATTCATGATTAAAATAACATTTAGGTTATTATTAATGAAGGAGGGGTTTCATAGACTGGAACTATACAGAGGTGTGTTTCCCGTACAACGACGTAACTCGCTGTTTCACTACTAGGCTATAGTAAGTTTGAAGAAATCAAGCTAGTAAGGACTGTTTCCAGAAACCATATTTTCGCAAATTGGTCGTTCAACCACGTTGGTCAATGATGTCACTTAAGTGGTGGAGTAATAACTTATTCTATTCGATCTAATGAATGCGAGATATTTTGCTATAAGTTAAGATTTAAATTACATAAGTATTCTACATAAAAGAGACAGATTGCACTGAATGTCAGCTTGCTTTTATTAAGTCCACATTTCATGCAAACAAGAAACTATGCTTCTAACCGCAAGATCTGTCGTTCAAAAACACACAACTTTGCGATGCTGTTTGCGAATGTTCTCGGGATGTTTTCGGGAAACAACGACTCGTTAAACTGCTGATAACGACAGAAGTTGCAACCAACGATGCTTTCGGGAAACACACCCCAGAGCGTTACTGACAGACTGGGAAGAGATGAGCTGCAACAATACAGAATATGGAGAAAATAATGTGTTTTTTGATCATTTAATCATGCAAACATGCTCCATTAAAGCTCAAAAACTAAATCAAGACATTGCAAAATGACATAATATTTTTTATGGGTTATGGATTGGATCCGTATTGATTGCTAAACAATGTTTAAAGTCTTGAAGAAAAAAAGATATACAACCTTGAGATTTCATTAAAGCCTAATCAAGTTCCCTTAAAGCTTCGCTGTGAGTTGCTTCACTTTCTTGCTGTTTACATGCTGCTAAAAACACAAACTCTGTTTCTTTCTCAGAGCGCCAGTGGATATTCTCATCTCTAGATACTGTGTGGTGTCATCCTTTGAAGTAATATTGAAATATTATTCACTTTATAGTATATGATGAAATGTTACATCTGATAGGAGCCATTTTAGTACATTCATATTTCAAAATTACTGGAGTTTCTGCTACTGAGAGAAAATTAAACAGCTTAAAGCTAAGTCTAATCCGATTTGCTGGCATGATTGCTGAATTCTCACAGCCTGTCAAGTGTCCAATTTCACTCGAAAACTGGTAAAACAGACCAGCTAAGATCGTACACCAGTTTGATATTGTTTAACAGCAGGTTAAAGAGACCCCCATCCCAATTTTTCAAAACTTCTATGTTTGTATCATTGTAATAATCACAAGTTTGGGGTATTTAAAAAAAAATAAAAACACCAAAACTGCATTTATTTGACCAAAAAATGCAGTAAAAACGGTAATATTATAAAATATTATTACAGTTTAAAATAGCTGATATATTTATATTATAAAAATGAATTTAAACCCTGTGATCAAAGCTGAATTTTCAGCATCATTACTCTGTCTTCAGTGTCATGTGATCTTTCAGAAATCATTTTAATACGCCGATTTGATGCTCAAATGATGCAATTGTGGAAACCTTCATACTTGTTTTCATTATTTGATGAACAGAACGTAAACCAAACAATCAAACAAACAAACAGCTTTTATTTGAAATAGAAATCTTTTGTGACATTAATGCATGTCTTTATAGTCACTTTTGATGAAGTCAAAGCATTAATGCTGACAAATAAATCGTACTGACTCCAAACTTTTTGGTGTCCCATAATTTGGCTCTCCATAGTGAATTATTGTAATATACAAGTCTTTTTAGCAGGCTGTTAAAAAACTGTAAAGGTTTGCCTCATGCGTTAATAATAGAGTTTTGCAATAACCGCAAGGTCCATGCAAAGAATACAAACCCCACTTTATTATGCCTCTGACAGATTAGTTCTGGACGGAGGGAAAATGTAACCACAAAGCACAGAAATAACGGGTTATGCAAATTTTCGGGGTCGTTTGCAGAATGGATCGCTGCGCAATCATTTACATGAGCTTCATTGCATAGGTCTGACTGTGCCAATAATAAACCTCTGAATTAAAACGCTGAATGGTCACCAGTTGTGTGTTTCTTCCTCCCCTGTTTAGTATGGATGGCCATATCTCAACAGCACTAGCATCTCGGTGTTAGCATGTAAGTGCTAACGTAGTGTCCTGCTATGACTTCCATGCCGCTGATAACAGGCTCGTTTCAGCAGAGAGAGATGCTGAGAGTGCAGGGCTCCTCCACAGGGTCAGTGTTGTTCTTCTAATGCCCTTGACGGGATCACGATACCTCACACAATGCTCCTGTCAATCACGGCTGAAATGATCTTAGCTAGCTTCTGTGAAGAGATTCTGGGCATTTTGTTTGTGCTCATATTGATGGTTTTGAGATTTTGTGGGATCGGTGAGTCTTCAACTTTAAATTCCAATACTAGCCGAATAGGGCTTGGGCGCCGCGTTACATTCTGGGGCGTGGCGGCCATGTTGACAGCTTCGCGAATGTAAACGTACTGAAAGTCGAACGAGGAGAAGCAGCAGAGTTGGGAGAAAGAAAATAAAAAAGATGTTAAAATCCCTAAATAGGGAAGCAGGGACCGTTATTTGGACAAAACCGGCAATTTTTAACGGTTTGGATCTATGTGAAATACTAAACTAGCAGCTATTTGGAGCACATCTTAAAGTCACCTTTGCCCAGATTACTGTGTTCCCACTAGGGCTGTTGGAACGAATTCCGAAATTCGAATATAATTCGAATATTAAAAAAAATCAATACTATTCGAATGCTGAAGTTACTATTCGAATATTGCTTTTTTATGTATGTATATATAAAAATGTTATATGCAATCTTGTCTTTCTCGCTGCCTTGGCTTACACGCATGTGAAAATGAAATGCGTTTGTTTCGTCTGATGAACAATAAAGTTTTTGAATCGTAACACAAGTGTGCACGTTATCCACGCTGTATCATCAACATTACTGTCAAAAATGGATGCAAAAAGCGCCTGTGAAGCGAAAAACGCAAATATCTCAACGAATTCGTCGAGCACCGAGCTTGAACCGTCTAGTCGAACTGAAAAGAGCGATATAAGTTTCAGAATTTTTGGGGTTGTTTTCACGGAGATATTAGCCGAAGCGCTTCTAC